TACAAATTTTTTGCCTCACTATATGCAGCCACTTGGCTGCTCAGAGTCTTGTGACGTTGCTGCTTGTCACTTGGTCAAACCACTAACAATGTGGTCTATGGCATCTCTTGCCATTCTGCCTCTTGGCCTCTCTGGACAAGAAGAGCTGCAGTTCATGCCAGGGGCTCTTACCAAGGCCTCTGCGGGACCTGCAAGCTGCAAGAGCTGAGTTAGGTGGGTGGCAACATGAGGGGCACTTCAAACTTCAGCTGCTCCTGCTGCGTCCCTCTATACGAGGCTCTCCTCCGTGCACTCTATCCTCTTGCAGCTTTAAAAATTGACTTGAATTCCTTGGCGTTTGCATCACCTGTTTGTCTTTTATTCAAGTTAAAAATTTCTTGGAAAATGTAAAAAGGCTAATCAGAGGTCTGTGTGTCTGTGCCAGGAAATCTCCTGCATTTAGGATTGAGTAACCACTGAATGTTGAATTCTTGGATTTTTTGGGGACCCTTCAGCTAAATGTCCCAGCCAGAGCAGACAAATTAATTATCCATCATTCACTTTATTTGAGGAGTGCTGTTAGAATTAATTTTCATGTAGTGTTGATGTCTTTTTCTTAAAATATTTTAACTCTTTAAGCACAAGTTAGATCTTCATCTTCACTTTTGCATCCTTTATGTACGTAGCCTGTGGCATGTATCAGTCGTTTTGTTCCTTGTGTGATTTTATTTTTCTTTTGCAGAACAAGATGCTGGGCTCGATGCTCTTTCTTCAATCATATCCCGGCAAAAACAAATGGGGCAGGAAATTGGGAATGAGCTGGATGAGCAGAATGGTAAGAATGACACCCATAGACACTCATTGTCCATCATTTTAGTTTAAGATTGTGATTTTTAGTCCTTAGAGAGCTGCACTATTTTCCCCATATAGTAACAAGACACTCTGTACATGTTTATGTATCAACAACTCCTACAGATTCTCTCTTCGTGAACTCGTTATTTTTCATTCTTACACTGCCTGCCCCCTTGTATGTATATAAGTACAGTGCTTAGTATATTTTAACCAAGCCTGCCTTTGAAAGAAACACTCAGTGGTTATTTGTGTAGTTAATGTTATACCACATTTTCCAGTGATGATGCTCTTAACAGCCCAGGTCTTTTTTTAGGTAAACGTTTATTTGTTGCTGGGTTTCATTAGGATGCTCTTACTCTGCGTCTTTCATGATTAACTAAATGGAAAAGACTTGAGTCAGTGATTAAAGGAGAAGCATCATATTATTTGCCACAGATGACTTGGATTTTGAGCATTTTGTGGCACTGACTGTAGGACTGGGTTAAGTGCAGTATTGAGATAGAAGGTACCTATTTTCTTTAAACTGAGTCCGTATCTAAATGGTGGAGTTGCTCTCAAGTAAAATGTGCTTTGTTACTCACTTAATTGTTCACATGACATAAACTGTCCCTAGGAGAGCAGATCCTCCGGTCTCTCTGACTTTTTCATTTCTTACAATATGGTAATAGTTCAATTAGAGCCTTGGAATCCTGCCAGTTTTCTCCCTTGCACAAAGACTTGAGCCATATGGTTTATCCTTGGGTCGCGTTGTACTTAACCACTGGGAAGGTAAATGCCCTTTTACTTGCTAATAAATGATACGCTTAATTCGGCTTCTTCCTGGGCCTGCATTTTTGTTTTTTATCTTGCATTTCTCCATCTGTGTGCTCACAGTGAGGGGGTTTCCCTGCTAACAATTAGGTAACATAAAGTACTATCGGGGAGCCCCGTTCCAGCTGAGAATGGAGCCAGAGCAGGGCTTGCTCATGTTTCCCTTGTATCCATGTTCTGACTAAATCCAGGAGGAATATGAAATGTCGAAAATACTTCTTTGTTTATTAAGATTGTGAAGAAATGGCTTGCGCAGCTGGGAGAAACTATGCAGAGCACTCTTGTCATATTTTGATCCTCTGCCTCATACGAGCAGAAATCTTGGTTTCATGCGTCTCTCATATTAAGCATTGTTTAAAAAGTCATATTAATTGTTTCTTTTGCTCTAAATAGGAAACAGGTGGGAATCCTGAGTATGTTTACTAATTCTCTGTGAAACATTGGTTTCTTGTTAGGAAATTATATGATCTATGTCCCGTTTCGCTCTGGTTGGGGGTAGATTTCCCAAATCCTTATATCTTAGGGACTCTGAAGGTTATAGGGATTGTACCACAGCATTTCTGTGTCGCCACACCAAGCTCCTCCCAGCCTTGAACACCTATGAAACTGGGAATATGTTTAACCCTCTTTTTAACTGATGGTGCAAATAATGCCAGTTTGGTTGGACTTGTCTTTCGGATAACTCGAAAGCCTAGAGCAAAATTCCTAATGCTGTTGTGTGAGCTCTTACAGAAGCTCTAGGCGGCTGCAAAGCCGGAGCCTTTCGCAGGCGCTCGGTGCTGCCGCGTTTTTAGCTGTCTGCTTCAGTCTGCAGAGCAAGTTCCGAGGCGGGGGAGCCGCTGCGGTGCCCATGTCGCTCCCGGGTGCCGCAGAGCGCTGCCTTCATAGAATCATAGAATCACAGAATGCTTAGGGTTGGAAGGGACCTCTAGAGATCATCTAGTCCAACCCCCATGCACACGCAGGGTCACCTAGAGCACGTGGCACAGGACTGCGTCCAAGCGGGTTTGGAAGATCTCCAGAGAAGGAGACTCCACAACCTCTCTGGGCAGCCTGTTCCAGTGCTCTGTCACCCTCACTGTTAAGAAATTTTTCCTTAAGTTCCTATGTTCCTTCGGACATCCGTAAGCAGGCTGAAGGCAAAGGGAGACGCTCCGGCTTTCGCAGGCGGGGACACCACCATCCTCAGCCGTCACTCGCCTTCTCGCCCCGGGCGCGTCGCTCCTCGTGCTTCCCCGGGGTGCAGTCCCTCTCCTCGTGGGGCTGCTGCCGTCGGCGCGCTGGGGAGCCTGCAGTCCCTAGCAGTGTTTTCCAGTGGCTTCTTTCCCTTCACGCATCTTATTTTATGTCCTGTACTTAACTTTCTGCAGACTTTTCTCAGGCATTTTGCCAATATTGTGTCACTCTACCCAGCCAGAGTTGATGAGCATAACTGCGCTGTAATTTCCCCTTATTCAGAATGTCTTTCCTTCCTAGTGCTGAGTGATAATATCATCATCTGTGTTGTGGGGACGCAGGGGAGTTCGTCTTCACTGAAGTGCTCCATCAATATTTCTTTTTATTGGCGTCAAATTTTCCATCCCACTGTGTACTTCTGTAGGGACCTGGAAGTCCTGCCTCCCACCCTGCTTTGGCCATTCTCACATTCTGCAACTCATTATATTAAAAATAAATAAATAAATAAAAATAAAGAAAGGCTTAATTCGGAACAGGCTGATAGTGCCTGACAGTGCAACAAAATTTAAGAAGGTAGGAAGTGTCATTATTTTCCAGGCTACCTGGCTTTCATGTATTTACCTGTTTGTTATTCCCTCCCCAGCAGCCGGGCTGTGTCCCCTGCTGCGGTCCCGCTCGGGGACCGTGCGCAGACGGTGCCGCCGCCCGCGGCGCGGACACCCAAGGCAATTATGCAAAGTTTACTTCTCCAGCAGGGTTGGGACGGGCAGATGCCTTTGTGTTTGTTAAATGACTGAAAAATGATTAAGTTTCTCTTTTGGAAGGGTAGTTGCTTGGCTGTACCTGCCTGCGCTTCGCTGGTGGGCCGGCAGCTACAGTACCCTGGAAATGGACCCTGCTGCTGGGGGAGGTGGTTCCAGCGTGCCAGGAAAGCCTCTCTTCCCGCGGGATGTTCCCTCTTCGGGCACCGCGGGTGACGCCAGCCTCGCTCAGCTCTGCAGCGTTTGAGCCAGGCTCCCTTCCCAGTCAGCATGGAGGAGCAGGGGATGCCTCTGGCCTGTTCCACGTGTCCACCTCGGACTAGGGAGAACAGTGTCCTGAAAAAGCCTGTTTTTTCCCCATCAACTCTTACAGAGAGCCTAGGCTCAGATGGAGGCTGCTTTGCAGACATCTGCCCTGAGCAGATGAATCCTCCCCTTAGATGTTGTTGCGGTGCTCCAAGTTTTAATTGAAGTCTCATGTCATTCTTCGCTCGGACTTTCAGTATGGGCCTATCCGAGAGATTTTATGGCTCTGTGCTAACTTGAGGGTCCTTTTCAAACCTCCTGAGCGTAGTATTTTGCACTGATGAGCAAAGTAGAAGCAGGGTACCAGGAGACAATGTTTTTTTCCAGCCTCAGGAGTCTGCCAGCAGTGGGAGAGATGGGGGATTAGCAAAAGAATTTTCCCATCATTAATTCCAAATTTGGTCCCAGAAAACTTTCTGTAATCCTTTCATCTGTTAGATGAAAAAAAAATAAAGCAAGAAAAGAGTGTAAATGGCCTCTGGCCCTGTTGATGAGGCAATCTGATCTAGTGCAATAATTTTGGAAGAATGCTTCCAGAACTTCTGAATGCTGTTTGTTTTACCCTTATAGAGACCATGTTGTCTCATTGTGGGATACTTCCATGAGAATATAGTGCTCTTCACGACGGATGGTAAATATGGATAGCTTGCAAAACTTGTAGTGTTTGGCATTTTTACCAGGTTACTTCCCACTTAGAAGCTACCACTGATGGTATATACCTTTTCTTCCTGCTGCTTTAAAACTCATGTAAGAACATAAATATGTTTTTAAATGGATAAGCTGCAAAACCAGACTGCTGTTTGTATCCTACTGGTAAGGGGAATACTGTGCACTGTTGGAGTGAGTATCTAGGATGTTCTTAACCATTTTTTTTTCATTTTGAGTAGGTGATCTGTCATAATGACAATTTAATTAGATGAGTAGTAAGTCAAAGTCAAATTTTGAAGCACAATCCAAGATGCAATTATTATTGTTATTATTTTAAATAGGCTTGCAAATAACGGTTTCCCTGTCACCTCTGGCTGGTCACAGCTGATGGTGTCCAAGCCTCAGGCGGACGCGGGACCAGGCCTTTGGTGCCAGTTCAGTAGTGAGGACTGGTGCTTTGCCTGGCTTACAACATTCATTAACCTGGTGGGTCACTGTCAAAATACAAGTATACAATATACAATACTTGCATTTGGAGCCGTGTTATGCTGATTGCCGAGTGCATACGCAGGGAGAAGTACTTTGTAAATCAAGATCAGAGGAAGTGAGGGGAAGTATTCTTGGTGATGCAGGGGCTTTTTGAAAATAATACAGGACTCAGAGCATAGCAGGGGATTCCGTTCGTATCTCCCAGGGCTGGACTTAACTATGGCAGTGCTCTCTAGTGCAGAGAGCAGTGCCAGTATTCGAACACTAAAATGCTTCTCTAAAAGGTTGTTTTACACGACCGTTGCATGATCAAAATCAAAAGGGAATCTTGAAGGAGTTTCACATTTCAGTTTATTAAGAACATTTTGCTATAATGCAAACTAATTAGCATTGTGTATGCAATATGTATGAGTGATGAGACTAAAACCAATGGGGCTGCAGATGCATTACCTCACTGTTAGGATTAGTATGTAAATAAGGAATGATTAAAGATTACATGTAAATTTTTAAAAAACGGTCGTCACCTTGTTTAAATGGCTGGTATTCTCATCATGCAGGGTGTGATCCTGCACGTGCCAACCGCCTCCTGAGACACCGAGTCCTCTGGCTCCTGGAATGTGGAGGTGTTCAGCATTCCCGAGGAATGCTGAGCACCAGCAGGTTGGGGCTCTCTGAAAACCTCGGAGGAGAAACACGTGGTTTTAATATTCCAATTTAAAATAACCATTCATAGCTTGACTGACCTCATGCTATGCAGATAGATTTTTATTTTGCCTCCTGAGCTTATTGTATA